CTCCAAAAAACATGGAAAAATCCAACTCAAATCCATGGAAAAACGGCTTTTCCAGGTGATTTTTCCTCCCAAAACATGGAAAAATCCATGGAAAAACAGCTTTTCCAGGTGATTTTTAACTCCCAAAACGTGGGAAAATCCATGGAAAAACGGCTTTTCCAGGTGATTTTTCCTCCCAAAACATGGAAAAATCCATGGAAAAATGGCTTTTCCAGGTGATTTTTTCTCCCAGATCATGGAAAAATCCTCTCAAATCCATGGAAAAACGGCTTTTCCAGGTGATTTTTAACTCCCAAATAATGGAAACATCCACCCAAATCCATGGAAAAACGGCTTTTCCGGGTGATTTTTTTTCCCTCCAAAAACATGGAAAAATCCAACTCAAATTCATGGAAAAACAGATTTTCCAGGTGATTTTTTTTTCCTCCAAAAAACATGGAAAAATCCGCCCAAATCCATGGAAAAACGGCTTTTCCAGGTGATTTTTTTCTCCCAAATCATGGAAAAATCCTCTCAAATCCATGGAAAAACGGCTTTTCCAGGTGATTTTTTCCTCCAAAAAACATGGAAAAATTCATGGAAAAACGGATTTTCCGGGTGATTTTTTCTCCCAGAACATGGAAAAATCCTCTCAAATCCATAGAAAAATGGCTTTTCTGGGTGATTTTTAACTCCCAAAACATGGAAAAATTCATGGAAAAACGGCTTTTCTGGGTGATTTTTAACTCCCAAATCATGGAAAAATCCTTTCAAATCCATGGAAAAACGGCTTTTCCAGGAGATTTTTTTTCCTCCAAAAATATGGAAAAATCCAGCTCAAATCCATGGAAAAACAGCATTTCCAGGTGATTTTTTTCTCCCAAAACATGGAAAAATCCATGGAAAAATGGATTTTCCAGGTGATTTTTTTTCCTCCCAACACATGGAAAAATCCATGGAAAAAGAGATTTTCCAGGTGATTTTTAACTCCTAAAACATGGAAAAATCCTCTCAAATCCATAGAAAAACGGCTTTTCCAGGTGATTTTTAACTCCCAAAACGTGGGAAAATCCATGGAAAAACGGCTTTTCCGGGTGATTTTTCCTCTCAAAACATGGAAAAATCCATGGAAAAACGGCTTTTCCGGGTGATTTTTTTCCCTCCCAAAACATGGAAAAATCCTCTCAAATCCATGGAAAAACGGCTTTTCCAGGTGATTTTTAACTCCCAAAACATGGAAAAATTCATGGAAAAATGGCTTTTCCAGGTGATTTTTAACTCCCAAATCATGGAAAAATCCATGGAAAAACGGCTTTTCCAGGAGATTTTTTTCCCTCCAAAAAACATGGAAAAATCCAACTCAAATCCATGGAAAAACGGCTTTTCCAGGTGATTTTTCCTCCCAAAACGTGGGAAAATCCATGGAAAAACGGCTTTTCCGGGTGATTTTTTTCCTCTAAAAAACATGGAAAAATCCATGGAAAAACGGCTTTTCCAGGTGATTTTTAACTCCCAAAACGTGGGAAAATCCATGGAAAAATGGCTTTTCCAGGAGATTTTTTTTCCTCCAAAAATATGGAAAAATCCACCCAAATCCATGGAAAAATGGCTTTTCCAGGTGATTTTTTCTCCCAAATCATGGAAAAATCCTCTCAAATCCATGGAAAAACGGCTTTTCCAGGTGATTTTTAACTCCCAAATCATGGAAAAATCCAGCTCAAATCCATGGAAAAACGGCTTTTCCGGGTGATTTTTAACTCCCAAAACGTGGGAAAATCCATGGAAAAACGGCTTTTCCAGGTGATTTTTTTTCTTCCCAAATCATGGAAAAATCCAGCTCAAATCCATGGAAAAACGGCTTTTCCGGGTGATTTTTCCTCCCAAAACATGGAAAAATCCATGGAAAAACGGCTTTTCCGGGTGATTTTTCCTCCCAAAACATGGAAAAATCCATGAAAAAACGGCTTTTCCAGGTGATTTTTTCTCCCAGATTATGGAAAAATCCAACTCAAATCCATGGAAAAACGGCTTTTCCAGGATGGAAAAATCCAACTCAAATCCATGGAAAAACGGCTTTTCCAGGTGATTTTTCCTGCTGGGCCTCCTGGACCTGTTCAAATCCATGGAAAAACGGCTTTTCCGGGTGATTGTTTTCCCTCCCAAAACGTGGAAAAATCCAACTCAAATCCATGGAAAAACGGCTTTTCCAGGAGATTTTTTCTCCCAGATTATGGAAAAATCCTCTCAAATCCATGGAAAAACGGATTTTCCAGGAGATTTTTAACTCCCAAAATATGGAAAAATTCATGGAAAAACGGCTTTTCCAGGTGATTTTTCCTCCCAAAACATGGGAAAATCCATGGAAAAACGGATTTTCCAGGTGATTTTTCCTCCCAAAACGTGGGAAAATCTATGGAAAAACGGCTTTTCCAGGTGATTTTTTTTTCCTCCAAAAAACATGGAAAAATCCGCCCAAATCCATGGAAAAACGGCTTTTCCAGGTGATTTTTAACTCCCAAATCATGGAAAAATCCAGCTCAAATCCATGGAAAAACGGCTTTTCCGGGTGATTTTTCCTCCCAAAACATGGAAAAATCCATGGAAAAACGGCTTTTCCAGGTGATTTTTAACTCCCAAAACGTGGGAAAATCCATGGAAAAATGGCTTTTCCAGGAGATTTTTTTTCCTCCAAAAATATGGAAAAATCCACCCAAATCCATGGAAAAATGGCTTTTCCAGGTGATTTTTTCTCCCAAATCATGGAAAAATCCTCTCAAATCCATGGAAAAACGGCT